GTTGGGGTTGGGGTTGGGGTTGGGGTTGGGGTTGGGGTTGGGGTTGGGTTGGGTTGGGTTGGGTTGGGTTGGGTTGGGTTGGGTTGTTGTTGTTGTTGTTTCTCGCATGGGTTCAATGACCCCCCAAATCCTCCTTTGCTTTGCATGTGAGTGCCCCCCTAAGTACGGTGTCCTTGTGAATTAAATCATCAGGGAGAGAGTGAGAGGGACTTGAGCTATGAATGGTTTGGGAACCATTTGACGACCTGCCTTTTCTTTTGAGGCGCCACGCTCTAACCTGCCGGAGATCGAAAAGAAGAAGTTCTTAGTGCCTGGCTCCATGTGACTCAGCGAATGCGTCAGTCTTGGTTGTTGGTTGCTCTATGTTGCTCTTATATTTCTTTGGATGTTGGGTGGCGAACTGTTCTGATTGGGGTTGCGAACTGTTCAGAATCGCATGCGTGCGATCCTCATTGGGCATTGAGAAGCGGAGAGGAGGATCGCCTTCAGCACTCGATGAATGGCTCGACGAGGATTATTAGAGAATCATGGAAGTGGAACATAGGCCGCATGGAAGGCGATTTTCCTCGACAAAGGAGCCTTGAGCTTTGCTCGGCTTTCATGACTGCTTGATAGAATGATGTTCGTCAAAAAGCGCAAATATCTATATATATACGATGTCTTCTTGTGTTTGACTTTTTTTCTCAGCCAGGAGCCCTGGGAGAGGCCGCTGGTATGGTCGACGCGACGACTGAGGCTGTGTGGTGAGTTCAAGTACATCGTGCACAAGCACATCCAGCAAGCAGCCAATGGAACTGGTTTGGCTGCAGACCAGGCGGGCTGCGACTGTGAAAGGTGGTGTGATCAGAATGTAGAGCAGTCGAAGACTACCACTACTTGAAGTGAAGCGTACAACTCAAAAGACCTCCTGAGACTCCGAACGAAACAAGGCTGAGAGACGGGTTCCTTTTTGACGGTGGGCCATCACGACATCTCACGATCCTGCTGTGTAGATCGGGGGCGTCCTAGTGGGCTCAGTCGGCAAATAATTATCACTTTAAAACTTTAAAGAAAGACCTTTACTAACCATCATCCCCCACTGTTACAGGGAATGTGATATACTGATATACTCAAGATCTACGTACATCGGGGTACGACATTTCTCCCACCACAGTCTCTCCTCTTGAGACTGGCAACAACCGAGTGACACGCAGGTCATTTACCTCTTCACCACGAATGGCCGCAACACCAACGTGAAGACGGGCGAGATGATGTCCGAGGTGTGATCTTGTGCTGGGGAAACTCCCAAACATTCCCAAACGCTCCATGGGACTGGCGTATTGACATACAGACAGGGGTGGTTGAAAGGGGGCAGGCAGTGTCTGCATATATTCCATCTGGAGTTAATTTATGTAGGAGTGTTTGGGATTGGGCTTTGGCTGGTCCTTGTGTGTCAACAAGGGAATCTGGAGGCGAGAAATCTCCCTATTCGGGCATTGCTTATTTTGGTGTGCAGGAAATTGATGGAGGGGTGCAAAGGATTTGAGGGATCTGCAGCTACAAATTTGAGGACATTTTGGCAGCTGAAAGCTGCCCAGAACCATGTTTTGCACCTCTTTGACCCATTTGTCCCTGAGTTTTGCAAGGAAATGAGCTGAAACAGATGCAGGGACCCTTTCCTGACCTTTCCCCTGGTTTAAAGGCAGACTGTTGGAGTGGGAAGGTGGTTCTTGATTGGGCGCCTTGACGTCAGTGGAAAGACCAAAGACTGCAGAGGAACAGGACCGCACTGCAAGGACACCGGTGGTGTGAACGAATCATCGTCGACTGGGACCGGGTGGGGTTCGGTCAAAGTCTTTGTACTTCAGGCCAGGCTACACCACTATTCATTGGTGTTATAGCTGTTACAACCCGGGAAGATTGATATTGAACCTGATGGCATGGACCTGCAAGGAGAACGACAGCTTCCTCCAGCTTCCTCCACGTTCACCAGTGGTTTTCAAAATCCATGTTACATCTTCCAGGGCGTATTTGGCATTTGAGTCTTCGAGGTTCCAGATTGGGCCCGAAAACGCTGAACAGCGGCTTCATGACCATTCGCCTCGGGCAAGACATGTTTTTGATGCTGCTCCGCAGATCTATGACCGATATAAGTCCGATGACGGCTTCCTGTACATCGCGTACAGCGCTGAGAACACCCTGGGCTGAAGCAGACTTAGAGTCAGCACACCTGTACAAAGAATCTGCCTCCTTTAGTAAAGGCAGGCTTCAGTCCTTCCTGATTTGAGCCTCACACCATTTTCAGTCTATGGCAAGTATTAGCTGAACTGGACCAACAGGAGAGTTTGGGATGATGGGCGAAAGGCATTCATAGTTCAAAAAACTTTTCACATATAAATTATGTGCCCCTTCCGGGGCCAAGCCTGAAAGTTCTCGAAATCAAGTGACTTATTTACTAGATTCCTTTGCTAGTAATTACAAGTGCCTCGCTAGTAGTAACAGGTGCCTTACTAGTAGTAACAAGAAGCTATTAGTAACAAGTGCCACGC